TGAAGGTTATAGTTTGACTGCCAACATTATACTATTAAACTGAGCCGGAACTTTCACAGAAATTACATATTGTTGTTGCTGCTATTTTCTAATATTTATGGCAAAGCTTCCCAGAAATTTAATTTGGTTTACCTGGTAAAATAAAAGAAAGGAAAACATTGTCACTTGGAAAAAAGTAAAACTTTGGCACGTACAGAAATGTTAATATTGGTTTTCCAAAACTCGTATAAAACCTTTCAGTGCCTGATAAATATGTAAATTGTCAATTTTGATTGTTGTCCTGCAATATTGTATACTTCAATAGTTTCATACCTACAGAAATTGTTTCTGGAAAATTAATGGGAAAAAGACCTCACCGGACTCCAATTGGTGGAAATTTTGAACAGTAAAAATTTCCTACAAAGAGCTGAGTAGATCGTTGGAAATAAATCTGACTTTTGATAAGTTTTGTTAAAAAAAATACTGGTGATTTTTTTTTTGCATTTTGTTTTGACTCAAAGAAAATTTTCTTGTTTTGATTGACCATGATCTGCAGCAATGTAGCATTTTTTGGTAAACAAAGCTAACTTGTGTTAGCATTTTCTCTCCCCTTGATACATAATATGGAAAAAAGTGGAAGTAATTTTTACTATTTATGGCAATGGGTCTATTTTTGTATAATTTCAATAGGAAATTTTGTCTGCTTAAACTAGAGAATTAAAACATGTTTCATTGTGTGGCTTTAATTGAAATTCTTCCAGGAAGTTGAATTTGACCTGAAGCAAGAAGAGAACTCGCTGCTTTGTTTGTAGGGTTCCAGAGACCTCCAAAGGAGGTGAGGAAGCTTGCATCCATTGGCAGGACTGGACAACCCAGAAAAAGAAGACCCACCTTGTTCCTGAAGCCTGCACAGACTGGATGTTGAGAGCTCACTCTGATTCCATAGGGAGTATTCCAACAAAGCCAACTAAAATTGCTGTTTGGTGTTCCGTCCTGTGACTTTATACAAAAATAGGTAAAATAGATTGAAAGTAAATTTAGTTTACAAATATTTTGCTATATTGTTAGATAAAATTGGGATCAAGGTGGTGAGAAATTGTTTTTAGGTAAGTTGAACCAGTGTTAAGATTTTCTTCCTGTAATTTTGATGTTTGCTGTTTTGTTCTGGCTAATGCCTCCAGATGTTTTTTTTCTTTTGTCATGGGCTGATGGAGTATTTTCCAGAAATGGAGGATTTTTGCCACAATGGACAATGCCTGGTGACTGTTGTTTTTCTTGCAGACTGGAACCCTAAAAAACTGTCTTCAAAGGCTGCCCCCTAAGATCAGCACCACCATAGGTATGGTGGAATAAAAACTTAGAAGTGGGGAATGAAGTAGAAAATGTCTAAAGTTATGTTGAAATAAAGCCTTACTGTAGACTGAAAGTTCCAGAGAGTTACTGATAAAGAGTCTCAAGGCCACACAACTGATTCATTCCAGATAAATGCTTAGAAGTCTCCTACTTCTGTATCCCAGCTGGCTTTAAAGTGATAATGTACCCCAGCTTTTGGCAATAAATATCCTATTGGGCCTCCCTGCTGGTGCAGGCTGTTGAATTCAGCACTGTGAAGCTGTCCACAGCCTCTGCAGTGTGGGTTTGATCCTGGCCGGCTGGCCGGGGAGATACCCACATGGCGCAGCAGACCTCTCCTGTCTCACCCACTGCTCCCCTCAGCAGTTTATTTTGGTCAGTCTGCCTATTCTGTTTCCCACTCTGTCTCTGGTGAATCCTCTCATCCTCCCACACATCTGGCCTGTACCCCGGTTCTTGTATGCATTAATAAATAGTTAAAAATAAAAATAGATGAAAAATAAATATCCTATTGCTTAATCCCTCGGGGCTCAGTTTTGGAGAAGGATTTCCTCTGAAACCTCTGGTGTTAATAAAGAATTTCCTACCTCTTCTCTGAGTGCTGCTTAGTTTCCTGATGAAACTTCTACTGTAACAATGAAACCTGTAGTTTCCATGTCTTCAGTCTAGTGAAGCTTATTTAAACTTAACTGCAGGCCAACAACGAGGTTGTGCCTGCTATGGACCCCGCTGCCCCCCAGATCCACATGCTGAAATAACCACTAATGTGATGGTACTATTATAAAAGGTAGGGCTGTGGTGATTAAGTTATAAGGGTGGAGTTCATATAGAAGGGATTAGTGCTTTTAGAAAAGAAACCCAAGACCTCTCTCATTCTTTCTCCCAAGTGAAGACACTGCAAGATGGCCACTGATGGACCAGAAAGTGCACCTTCGTCAGACCTCAAATCTTCTGGTACCCTAATCTTAGTACTCATCACCCAGTCTATGTTTTTGTTAGAGCAGCCTGAAGAGACCAAGACAGACAATGGTGTGAATCTGCCACTGCAGACTCTCTGGAGACCATCGGGCACGAGCGGCCCTTGTTTCCCAACCTTCCACATAGCTCAGATGCAGGCAAACCTAGGATCTACCAGAACCAGGCACTTTCCCAGACTTGGAGTCAGAAGAAACCAATGCAGATATATTAAATAACTTACATCTTCAGGAATGTAAGGAACTCATGTTCCACAGTGATGCTTCTGTCTGTAGAGTCTTGACCATCTTAGAGGTTTCTTTGCCAATTCTTGGAGTAACCAGATATTCTTTCAAAGACATTCTTTTTCCTCAATCAATAGGCTACTGTTGGTTGATATGTGTTTCAACTAATAACGTAGGCTGCTACAATTTATAAAGAGCAATATGCTATTTGCTGGTGTGATCCAACAAGTCTTCTCAAGTGAAACCAAGTCAATGGGCAACGTCTACCGACTAGCTAGGAAAATACTAGTTTTTAAAGGTACAAGTCTAAATTACTCTTCTCCAAGTATATTAAGACATACAGAATAAATGATATAGAGTACAAAATGCAGAAGACATTTAAAAATTTTTAAAAAGCATGCATGAAAAGTGTTAGGAAGTTTGGATTCCCTTTCTGAAATCCCTCAACATCAAAAAAATTGCATTTATCTTCCTCAAACCTAGTGTTAGGCTGGAACAGCAAAATACAAAATAAGGTGGAAAGATGCCAAAGCAGTAAAGACAAGGGGAAACAAGACAGCTGTCCTCAGCAGGCAACCTTCTCTGGCTATATGGTGACACCCTTTACCTGCAGACCTAGATCCTTACAATGGAAAAATAAAGTGCATTACCTTTCCTGGAATCATTGTGGCATTGAAAACCAGGAAAGGCCAGAAATGACAGGGTAGAAAACATTTGTGCAGGAAGCAGTCAGCTCTGCAGTACAGTGACCACTGAATATAGACAGCACTCTGCACAGTGAGCAGCACTGCAGCTGACTTCATTGCTGGTGAGGGGGAGTCAAGGCTAAAACAGTCATACACAGAAACTCTGGAAGCCTGGAATAACTCACTATGCCAGGAAAAATGCATCTTCTACAAAATAGTTGAAAATGACTGTGTACAAAGTTCATACAAAAACATTACAGGAACAGGTGGATGCGGAAAAAGTCCCACTGCAAATAAAAAATACTTTCATGAAAATAGTAATAGTAATAATACTACTAAACATAAGAGATAGTAAGCTTTAATAATTCTGAAGACCTTACCCCAGGCAACTGAAACCAAGACATGAAGGACAGAGGCTCCAACACTTGTCAAGTGCAGTTTCAGAAAACATGTCAAGAAAAGCAGTACAAACTCTCAAGGTCATCACTGAGAATTCTGCTCTCCCTAGGAGAGACACCAAGTTGCTCAGCTCAAAAGCAGACTCTGAAACCCCATAGCTTAGGTTACTCTACCAAGGAAATGACAGCTTATAAACAAAGTCTCATTGACAACATTAAATGTAAGAAGAAAATGAAGTTATATTTTCAAAATGCTATGAGGAAAAAAGGTGCTAACCTAAAATTGTATTAGTCAAACTTCCATTCAAGAGTAAGTGACAAGCAAGGCCAATTTCAGGCAGATGTGGTCTCAGGGAGTTCAACACACACACAAACAATTAAGGGGATGGGAAAAGACATACTTCAACAGGAAAAGTTAAGACAGAAGGGAAGACATGGGGAAAAAAGAAACAAGGATACAAAGCTCCCAAGAGTGTTGGCTAGACTCTTGACTTTATACTGTTTCATATTATGTTAAGCTTTTGTTTTTTCAAGTCAGTTTTTGTCATTGTTCACTTTGTTTCTATGACCTCATGAGCCCTTATGTGTACTTTCTTTCTCCTTTGATAAAGTGATTTAAGGATAAAAAATCTTTCTTTTATTCTGAAAAGTTTGTGTGTGTGTGTCCCACAGATTTTTGGCATTAAGTGGCCTCATGTAATCATTCCTATATGGTTGTAAAACTCAATTTTGATGTACTTTTTGAAAAATTGAAGCATATGTTTTAGCACCCAAGCAATTAAAAAAACCTTTGGTCTTTTTCATAATTGTACTGGAATATGGTGAAAGGAATTTCATTAAATCTCTAGAAATTTTCCTAGAGCAAAACACAATTTTGCTTTGTGAATTTCACCAAAAAAGATAATTTTGTATGCAAGGGATATGTAATTATATGTGTGATACATATATACACACATTAAAATCAAGTTATGGATTCCCTAATTTTAGATTCAGGAATTTAAGTACATATTTTACTTTTTTTTAGGTTCAGAAGTTTAAATATAGGTTTTACACATTTCTATATGCATTAAAATCAAGTTACCATTTCTCTTCTTTTATGTTCAGGACTTTATAATTCCATGTTTTTAGCACATCTTCACTTTAATTTTTTACTGTTGGATGCTCACCTTTTAAAAGATAGTCTTCATACAAAGGGAAATTAGTGAGCAAATGATAGATGTAAACATTTTATTTTTTAATCCATTTCACTTAAAAACACTTGGCAACCAAAAGTCACCACCCAGGAAATGACAGAATACTTGTCACTTAGTGCTCACAGATCACCCGTTCAACTGGTCCAGGAACACATTCACTTCAAAATAACTTTTTGCAGATTTACAACATTTTCAACATTTAGTGAAGAGGTTACTTTGCAATGTTACTTTTCAAAAGTGAAATATTTAGAGCCCCTAATTCTTAGCCCAGTTGGTTCCATATTCATTTTTTTTAAGATTTATTTATGCATATAAGAACTGGGGTACAGGCCAGAGAGATGATTCACCAGAGACAGAGTGGGGAGCAGAACAGACAGATCTACTGAAACACACTGCTGAGGGGAGTAGTAGGTGACACAGGAGAGGTCTGCTGTGCCCAGCTCCCTGGCTGGGTTTGAACTCATGCTGCAGTTGCTGCAGCTTCATAGTGCTGACACCTAACCTATTGCACCACAAGGCAGGCCCAGTTTCATACTCATTTGTACAGCCATGGCACCTTGCCTTTAAAGTAAGATTTCGACATGTTCAGTGAAGATCACTGACATTGATTTGACCTATAACTGGGAGGTGAGGAAGCTTATTCAGGCCCTGTTGCTATACTAAGATTTCCCACAATTGTCTGTCCTCCTCAAAAATCATTGTATGAAGAATCCCTGGTGTTCCTCTATCTGTGCATTCATGGGTTAAAGATTTTCTTGGATGGGGAGCCAGTTTTCCAAATATCCATAACAGTCCCCATACAATTTCAGTCACTGCCATGTGTGTGCTACACTCTCTGACTTAATCCTCCTAGAAATGGCTCCACTGAGGGTCATCCACAGGGAGAGAATTTAACTATGGGTGCCACATTAAGTATCTCTTTGCTCAGGGAAACTGACCTCTATTCTCTGCTCTCTGAATTCAACTCTCAACATAATTTTAAGTAACACTGTTAACAATTTATAATTTAAGAACAAAGACCAGGAAGACATTTAAGCAAATATGAAAGAAATGAAAATAAACAAGTAAAAAGCAATGAGTAGCTACAAATCCTACCTCACTAAAAAAGCATTCTTGCAAATTTCTAGACAGGGCAGTGCCATCCCAGAATAAGAGGACACTCACATTAGGGGATATATCCCTAAAAGGACAATACTACATGAGAGGGGGATGGAAAAGCACCTTAAAAATAGAACTCCTTTATGCTTGTTTGAAAATACGGGGAAAAGTTCCCTTGCCCTCTGCACTGCCCATGCATTGTCAACCCCTCACAGAAAACCCTTTCTGGTTGAAGTTTCCAGTTCCCCGTTTCTAGAGAAATCTTTTATTTTCAGTGAGGAATATCCCTGGGAATCTAAGTCTGAAGAGTGACCTGCTCATTCGAATCCAAATAGAAATCTCAAAACCCTGAGGGATCTTTGCTATCTGGCAATCTTTCTTAAGTGGTTAGACAAAGGAGATGGAAATCTCTGTATTTCTTTTTTTGATTTTGACTAATTTTTACTTGTATTATATGTTATATCAAAATATCATATATCCCAAAAAAGAAAACCAGGCATAACTGTAACAATGAAATATACAGACCCAGAATCCCTTTCAATTCTAAGGCATGATACACGAATATCATGACAATTCTAGAAATGAATGTTCTATATTCTTGTCCTGCATTTTAAACTTCATGTCAAAGTCATTTCCTCAAAATTTATGAGTTTTATCACAAGAAAAAGTGCCATATGAAACAGTAATAACTGGGGAAATCATGCCATAAAATCTTACATTGAAATTCTGTTTTCCAATCTAAGTTCTGATAACTTCAGCAAGTTTCCAATCCCAGCAAGAAGTCTAGCAGTGTTAGCATTCTCATTTACTCTTTATTGGGGGAAAAAAAGGTCTACTTCACCGGCCTTTACTCCATAGCATACTGTCCATTTAAAGGTAAATCTCTCAGATTCATATTGGACAGTTTTCTGGAAGAAAAAGTGCTCACATTTACTATTTTTGTGGGACCATGTCACACGGGCCATGTTTGACTTTGTATATGAAATTGCTAAGGCTGTGATTCAGTTTCTCCCTTGTGTCTTCAGGATAAATTTCCAGACACAAAACAACAGAGGACTGAGAGCTTTCCACATAATTTTTATGCTAATTCTTTCTAACAGATATACTCCCTTACAAAAGAAAGTGGAATATACTCTGGGTGAAGATTTCCAAACTAGTTACAGTCATAGGGTTTCTCCTCAGTATGTGTTGCCTGATGCCTAATAAGTTTAGAGCTGTTAATGAAAGCTTTCCCACACTGGTTACATGTGAAGGGTTTCTCTCCAGTATGAGTTCTTTGATGTACAATAAGTCGAGCACTCAAACTGAATGTTTTTCCACACTGATTACATTCATACGGTTTCTCTCCAGTATGAGTCCTCTGATGTTGAGTAAGGCATGAGCTCTGCCTGAAGGATTTTCCACACTGACTGCATTCATAGGGCTTTTCTCCAGTATGAGTTCTCTGATGTACAACAAGAACATAACTCTGGCTAAAGGATTTCCCGCATTGATTACATTCGTAGGGTTTTTCTCCAGTATGGGTCCTCTGATGCATAACAAGGTGAGAACTGCGGTTGAAAGATTTCCCACACTCATTACATTCATAAGGTTTCTCCCCAGTATGAGTTCTTTGATGTGCAACAAGCTGAGAGCTCCAGCTAAAAGATTTTCCACACTGGTTACATTCAAAGGGTTTTTCTCCTGTGTGAGTTCTTTGATGGGCAACAAGTTTATAACTCTGACTAAAGGACTTTCCACATTGATTGCACTCATAGGGTTTTTCTCCAGTATGTATTCGTTGATGTGCAATAAGTTTATAGCTCTGGATAAATGATTTTCCACACTGATTGCATTCATAGGGCTTTTCTCCAGTATGTGTTCTTTGATGTGCAATAAGTTTATAGCTCTGCCTGAATGACTTTCCACATTGACTGCATTCATAAGGTTTCTCCCCAGTATGAGTTCTTTGATGCACAACAAGGACATAACTCTGGCTAAAGGATTTCCCACACTGATTACATCTGTATGGTTTCTCCCCAGTATGAGTTCTCTGATGGGAAACGAGGTGAGAACTCCGGCTGAAAGACTTCCCACACTCATTACATTCATAAGGTTTCTCCCCTGTGTGAGTTCTCTGATGTGCAACAAGATGAGAGCTCCAGCTGAAGCATTTCCCACACTGATTACATTCAAAGGGCTTCTCTTCAGAATGATTTCTTATATTTTGAGTAAGGGATGAACTCTGAGAAGATTTACATTTATATTGATTCTCTTCAATAGGAATTTTCTCTTGTTCATTATGGCATAGGCCATGATGCAAAACTTGTCCACATTCCTTAAAATCAAAGGACTTTCCTCTTGCATGTATTTTCTCATGCATACTTAAGTGCTCACTATCACTAAAAGACTGAATACTATCACTAAACTCATAGGATTTATCTTCTGTTTGAGTTCTTGTAAACTGAATAAGGTGAATGCTGTGGGAGTGGTTTCCACACTCATTGTTTTCATAGAGTTTTTCACTATCATTAATCATCTGATGACTGCTTACAACAGAATTAAGGTGTAATTTCTTAAAATGTGAGGCATGTTTACGAAAATGGTTTTTTATGGGTAACATCTGGCTTGAAAGACTGGAATTCAGACCACTTTTCTCCTCATTTTCATCGCTCTTACAGACTATTTCATGAGTAATAGCTTTCCTTTGAGTGAATGCCACTTCCTTCAAAAGCCTCTCTTGTTTTTCCTGTTGCTTCCCCAAATGGTCCTTACAATCCCAAATTTCTTCACATGAAGACAACCATGGATCATCTCTTGTTAACTTTTCCATCTTCACTTCATGGGATGGTTTGTTATCAAAAATGCTCTGCTTTGATGTGTAGTCTCTTTTTCCAAGCACAGTTGCCAAGTCTGGAAGAAAGCAATATAAAATATTGCAGCCAAAAAGTATTAGAGCTGGAACAGGAGGAGGAAAAATACATGTGGATTTCAGTTACGGAGTTATAACTTGGATTGGGAAATAAAAGAGCAGGATAAATCAGTAAAGCAGCAACAATCTTAGCCCAATAGTATAACAGGACATTAAAATGTAGTACATGCTATCTTAATCTTAGTTTTCTGAAAATAGGCATTAATGCCAATGTTCTCCATATTCCAAAATAAGATCACTTACACAGTACCTGCCCTACTATCAAACCAACTTTGCAATCATTAGCAAAGAAAATCACCCTCTTTATTGCCAAACACATCTTCACTAAACTAGAAATTATTGTCTATATTTCCAGGAAATTTCTAAGGTATAAAACTAGCTAGCATAGCCTATGTCAGTAATGCACAAACTTCCTATTCATTTTGTGAACCAAGAAAATGAATAGGGACACTTATTCTAGGTTCCCAAAATGCCTTAAGGGCTAATATGACCCTGTGTTTTCCTGTGATTTCAAATGAGATAGAATACAGGTTAGCTTAGAAGCTGAAAGTAAGGTAGATACTTTGAAAGCGAGGTCAAATAATAAAGGGTGCACCTGGAAAAAGTGGTGATACACACAATTGACTTGGTCTGGGAGATAGCAAAAAGGTAGCATCCCCAATGGGGAGTTCCCAAAAAAACCTATACCAGTAAGTTCTTACCTGAATAAGTTTGTTGGCAAATTCTTTTTATACTTATCTACTTGTTCCAATTACGATACTGAGTCTAGTTTGAAAAGCTGAAAGGCATTGGATTTTGGGTGTTTGGGCTGGGGACAAAAGAAAATCACTACAGAATTTCTCTTTGGCTTTCAGGAAACATGAAGACTGAACAAAGTCAAACTCATAAAGTTGTACCTTTTCTATGCTGCAAATTAAAATTAAATCCTTCCTAGGTAATAACAAAGCACAAACTCAATGGCCAAAATCATTTAAGCCTCAGAACTCCATCTCTCTTAATCAATGGAAGTGAGAAATAACTTCAACATACAGATTTCATTACAGAGGACTGTATTCTTACCCCAAGAGACCAGGTCCCTGTCGTTATCCAGGATCACATCTCTGTCCACAGTCCTCTGAGCAGAGTTCAAAATGCACTCTTCCTCTTGAGTGAAGTCCACAGTCACAATTTTTAAGTTCACTCCTTCCTAAAACAGGATACACATTCCTGCTCAGCTGGGCATCATTTCCTTCCAATGTTCACAGAGAAGGAAAAGTTTCACAGATGGAAGACTGAAAACTGGGTGATCTAGATGCTGTACTGAGATTGTCAGTGTCCAAAGGATTCTAGTATAAGGGTACAGATGCCTTCTAGGTGAGCCCCTTTGGGTTTTAAATGCTGGACCTTTTTTTTTTTACCATCCCAAAGAGGAACACTAGATGAGAACTGATATAAATTGTTTTCTCTCTTTACAGAAAAAGCTTATTTATTTTTTACAGGTGAATATAGAATTTTCACTTTGGAAGTCCATCTAAACTCACAAGAAATGAACAGAATTATATTTAGCAAATTTTGTCTGATAAAGACCAAAGCAATTATTTTAGGCTTTGCAAGTCACAAAGTTTCTGTCACAACCACTCAGCTCTGCTGCTGTAGCAAGAAAGCAGCCACAGGAAATATATAAACAAGCAGGTGTAGCTATATCACAATAAACTGTATTTACAGAAAGAAGTGGTAGGCCAGCATTGGTCCACTGATGCCTGAAACAGAAAATTAAATCTGGGCCTTAGTGAAAGGCAGTATGTAGAGAGTAAGAGCACTGGATTTGAGACAAGAGACTTGGGTTTTCTTACCATGAAGAGAATGTTTGAATTAAAAAAGAAAAAAAAAATATATATATACACACACACACAACTTGGTGTTGTCTTTTAATGCTGTATTCCATCTCTATTTATTAGGTTTCATTCTACATGACTCTTTGAGTTGTTGAGTAAACTAACTGGATGATATATGGAAAGCCATCAGCAGAGCTGGTGAACAAAGAAAGGCTGGTGATTATTATTAGGATTATTAGCTGAGAATTCTGACAAATTAATTAACAGCCAATGTGACCTTTTTCCTGACAGTCTTCAGATGACAGTTTCATTTTGTCCACATTCAGAGCTGCTCTTTAGGGCCCTGAGGAGACACTGTACTAAACGGGTCTCTCCAGCTACCTCTTCTGAGCAGGAATTTGGATCCAAAAGTGCTGAGGGTATTCTGTCCTTACCAAAGGCAACAAGAGTCAGGGAAGTCAAATGCCACCTGCCACTAAAGTCTTTTGAAATAGCCCTGGTGCTTTTAAGCTCTGGTTGATAAACATGACGTGGAGTCCCTGAACCCTACGAAACGCCACGCAAAGTGCTGCTGTGCATGCATTTTTCTAAGTTAGGCACCATGAATTTCACCAAAATCACAAAGGTTTTCATGATCAATGGGGTTAAGAAATATCTGCATACTGTCTCCTGTGTTGAACAGGGAGGGGTCTATCGGTTCTGTTTTTCAACCTCAGCTCTGTGCTTCCTTTTTTTTTTTTTTAATAGAGGCATGTTTATTTATTTATTTATTATATTTGTTTGTTTGTTTTGTTTATACATGCACTGGGTACAGTCAGAAGCGCGGGAGGGTGAGAGAATTCACCAGAGCCAGAGCGGGGAGCAGAGCAGGCAGAAGGACCGAAGTACACTGCTGAGGGGAGCAGCGGGTGGCAGGAGAGGTCTGCGCGCCATGTGGGAACCTCCTCCGGTGGCCGGGGAGCAGCCGGGGATCGAACCGGCGCCGCAGAGGCCGCGGGCAGCTTCGCAACCCAGCGCTCAACCGCTGCGCCACCGGGGAGGCCCTCTGTGCTTCCTTTTAATAAACACTCCCCTTTGCTGTTTAATGTAGGTCCCTTTAATATCAAGTTTGTTCAAATGTCAAATAAATAACAACAAACTAGATGAGCACACTGCTCTATATATTCTCAAAGTCCCGTGGATCTCTATCATATCCTCACCACATTTTCTTATCATTTTCATAATAGTTACCTAGACACTAGACTAAAATCCATGAGGGCAGAACAAGGTATTTACAGTTTGCAGAGTTTAGATTTAAATACTAAGTAAATACTGGGAAGATATTTCAATAAATGAATCAATAGTATCTTAAATCAACTTTGTAATATATCAAAATAACCTGATCCAAACTCTGGTTTAAGTCCTTGCCTCTCACCTGAATTAGACAAGGCCTATCACCTACCCACTGACCCAGTCCTCCAGTGTGTAGATAGGGCTCTTCTGGACTTCTCGCCCTACATATCCTGTTATTCCTCTCTTCTGTACCAATGCCCCACTCCTCAAAATTCCTTCCCAAACCTTCAACTGGACCCTCACAAATGCATTTCTGTAAAATTATATCCTACAGCTTCAACATCCTTCACCAAAAATTCCCCATACAGCCCTGTGTTATCAGCAACCAACACTTCCCCAGGATTCCCTCCTCTGCAGCAGACTCAGGGTAGTCGTGCTCCCCACTCCTGGGGGTCTCAAAGGGGTGAGGGTGTGTGTTCTCCCAGTCACACTGAAACTCAAGCTGTTTACCTCACTTCTTGGGGCCTTGTCTTGCCAACCTCTTAATTACCACCTCCCCCTCATCCACTGAAAACTTACACCTAGATTTATCCTCCAGTTCAAGAGCTTGCATTGTCTCATCTCATCTTGCACTGTCCACACAATCCACTTGTAGAATTTTCCGATAATAACAAAATTAACTGACTTTAAGGAAGCATTAAGTGTGTGGAGTCAAGCAGTGTGCAAAGCGTGTCAGATAAATTATTCATTTAAGTCTCACAGAGTTCCTTTGAAAAAATACTAGTAGCAGCATCATTGTTAGATAAACATCTAGAAGATTAGAGAAATTAAGACATACACCACCCAAGGTCAATAGCTCATTTGCATGGCTTGAGAGGTTATGTTCACATGACCAGCCCAAGCTCCAAGGCCCTCTTAGACCTTAAAAATCACCATAAAGAACTCCACCTCCCAAATCACACATACAGAAATGTCCACTCTTTGATTCCAACATCAAATTATTGTTATTTTTTAATTACATCAGATTGCTCTGCTTTACTTGCTCAGTCACTTCCTTTCTTCTGCTTCCATGCTTTGGAGCCACTGCAGAATTTAAGTAGCCACCATGACTCTTACCAGTCTGTATCATTTTTCTCAGCAACTTCTTTATCTTTTCCATCTGAATTATTCAGTTTAAAGTCTGTGGATCATTTCTTTTATTCTTATTTGATAAATTCGGAAGTTCCCTTTCAACTACCACCTTGACCTATGGAGAATCCATAGGATGTACTTGGCAGATTGCAAGAAAGCAAATTCTGAATGTCAACTTGCTATCTATAGAAAAGAGGTTACAGAGGGCCTCCCTGGTGGCGCAAGGGGTTAAGATGCAGCCTATGAAGCTTTCCGCAGCTACTGCAGCAGGAGTTCAATCCCTGGCCAGGGAGCTACCCACATGGCACAGCAGACCTCTCCTGACTTGCCTGCTGCTCCCCTCAGCAGTGTATTTCAGTCAATCTGCCTGTTCTATTCCCCACTCTGTCTCTGGTGAATTCCCTCACCCCCCACACCTCTGGCCTGTACCCCAGTTCTTGTATGCATAAATAAATAAATCTTTAAAAAAAAAGAAAAGAGGTTATAGAATGCTTCTGAGAAACAAGCAAAAAAAACAAAAAGGCCGCTGGAAAGACTATGATCACTAAATGGTCAACATGGTGCCTTTAGATGGATTATACCTCTTGGACCAGTCTGTTCTCCCATAATCCAAAATCAGCATTTCAAGCCTTTTCCACTGTTGTAAATTCTCTTTCTGTTCCTATTTCTACCTTCTTGCCCAAAAGACAACATCATCTTATTGTTCACAGAGACAAATCAATCCAAGCCTTTAAATAACTTCCTAAACCTTATTCTTCCTAGTCCTTCTTCCTCTATAGAGCAGCTTCATTCTATGTATACTCTGAATTCATTCCTCTGACACTAATGAAGGACTTTGCCTATCACCTTTATCTATTCTCTCTCGATCATTAACTTCTTTTTATCCAATAACTCCTTCTTGCAACCACTTAAACAGAGTCAAAAACAAGGATCCCTCAAACCTCAGTAGTCTTTGTAGCTATACCCTCTTGAAGCTTTCACACCATAATCATATTTCTTGTAGGAGCTGCCCACTCTTACCTCTATTTCCTCACTTTCTACTCACTTCCCAGTTAACCTGGTTTGTCGTGCATGTTGTAAAGAAGCTGTGTCCAGCTCACCTGGGCTGGGGGAGCCAAGGACCCAGCATCTTCTCTCTCGACCTTGATGATTACTTCCTGAGGAAGAAGAGACTCCTGGCAAGGCAAACAGACAAGAAAAAAAAACAATCAGGGAGCTACGTCCGGATCAACATTCCCACTGTGAGTAGGTGAGGGTCTGACATGCAACTTCTTTTAACCCATCCCTACTATCAAACTTTGGCTCCCTTCCAAGGGTGTGCTCAAGCTAGCCATGTGAAGAGAGAGGGGACATCTGGATGAGCTCTGAGACAGCTGTCATGGGCATAAGGATTTGGGGATCTTCCAGACCAGCCTGGCTACCAGTTGATAGGAACCCAGTGAGTGATTCCAGGTACTGTGTGGAAGAGTCCAGCTAGGCCTTTCGCCTTAAGTCCTGGATCATGGAATTGTAAGCAAATAAGATGGAATGCAGCTTGACCAGAGAACCATAAAGGAGACAGTCAACAAATCAGCTTCACAAATGTTTGGCAAAAAGCATTACCATGAAAGGCACCATCAATAAAGATTATTCTGTTCAGACTTCTTTCCCTTGACTCTCAAGGAATCTCTATTATTTGTAGACATTATTGTATTAAAATTCACCAACAGGGCCTCCCCGGTGGCGCAGTGGTTGAGCGCTGGGTTGCAAAGTTGCCTGCGGCCTCTGCAGCGCCAGTTCCATCCCCAGCTGCTCCCCGGCCACCGGAGGAGGGTCCCACATGGCGCGCAGACCTCTCCTGCCGCCCACTGCTCCCCTCAGCAGTGTACTTCGGTCCTTCTGCCTGCTCTGCTCCCCGCTCTGGCCCTGGTGAATTCTCTCACCCTCCCGCGCTTCTGACTGTACCCGTGCATGTATAAACAAACAAACAAACAAATAAATAAATAATACATGCCTCTTAAAAAAAAAAATCCACCAACAAAGTTTTGTGACTGGTTAATTTATCTTTCCAAATAGATTGGGGGGTTGGGGCCACCCTGGCAACGCAGGTGGTTGAGCGCAGCACTGTGAAGCTGTCTGCAGCCTCTGCAGCATGGGTTCAATCCCGGCCAGCAAGGGAGATACCCACATGGCGCGGCAGACCTCTCCTGTCTCACTCACTGCTCCCCTCAGCAGTGTATTTCAGTCAATCTGCCTGTTCTGTTCCCCACTGTGTCTCTGGTGAATCCTCTCACCCTCCTGCACCTCTGGCCTATACCGCGGTTCTTATATAAATAAATAAATCTTTTTTTTAAAAAAGAAATTTCATTAAAGCATTACATGATTAGGACAAAAATGGGAGGAGGGAGTAAATGCCAAACCTCGTTAAATAAATGATGCTTTGTCCAGGTATCTGAACACTTTTTAGCAGCCAAAATAAGAGATATTTGCATGGACTGATGCATATAAATGGCAATAAGATATCTATAATATAAATTGTTAAGTGAAAAAATTAAGAACAGTTCATTGAATATAAGTAGATTTTTATAGGGTATAAACCTGCACAGAGGAGTCTGGAAGGACAGTCACAAAACCATTAAAAACAGCTATTTTTCAGAAGGGTAGAAGTGGCAGGCAAGTTCATGCCTATGTTTTTTTAAAAAAAGATTTATTTATTTATGCATATAAGAATGGGGGTACAGGCTACAGATGTGGGGGTGAGAGGATTCACCAGAGACAGAGTGGGGAACAGAAAAGGCAGATTGACTGAAATACACTGCAGAGAGGAGCAGCGGGTGAGGCAGGAGCAGTCTGCTACACCATGTGGGTAGCTCCCTGCCTGGGGATCGAACTCACGCTACAGTGGCTGTGAACAGCTCCATGGGTTGCATCTTAACCCCTTGCGCCACCGGGGAGGCGCTCATGCCTATGTTTAATACTGTATTTTTAAAAATATTTATTTTCCTTTAATATTCAGAATCCAGCAAAAATGTTTCCCTCCTAGAAACAAGGTAATTCCTCTGTAGGTTCCTGCAGTTCTTTTGAATAGAGAACAATAACTCACAACCTGTCAAATGCAGACACTGTAATTCAAGTATACTTTGTTTCTTCTTAAATCTTCAAACACTGAAATATTTTGTTATTATTATTCAATTCTTTAATTTCTGAGTCATAAGCTAGAAGGAAACAAAAGATTGTACTTTTTACAGGTGTCTTTTCAACCTAGAGAAAATGTGACTACAGCATTGGGAATGGTTATGAAAAATGGTTAACATTAATATGTTTCAAGTCAGAAGACTTCTTAAAATCTAAAAGCCCCTCTGTAGCTCTCCTGGCTAGGGTAATGTGGGGTATTAAGAGAGTTGGAGCTGCCACTATGTATGGAAGCCCCAGTGGGAAAGCTTGGAGGCCAAGTCATCTGCCGTCCTGTCAAATATAAACACCGGGGTGGTTACACCACCTCAACACTGCTGCGTGGGCATCACGAGCCAGCCCCAGACATCGAAACACAAAAAGCAACAAATCAGACTCACAGTGTCAAGACAATAGGACCAAGACTACAGACCGTGCTAGGGAGCCATGAGCTTTGACTCCAAGCCACTTACAGACTCACGCACGTTATGGCAAGTTGAGAGAAACTGCATCCCTAAAGCATGACAATGCCCAAGAGCGCCTTTCCTTTAGCAGAAGAGGTGGATGTGGAACTCTAACAATCTAAAGGCCAGAAGTTAGGTGATTCTAACAAACAAAAAAACTGGGAATGAGAAAAGTTCCCCAAGAAAGGAAAACTTACAAATACTAGCATGTATTTTACAGTATTACATACACTTCCAGTTTAACTGCTTTTATAAACAAATGAAATAAATTCAGTTAAGAAACCATGGCAAAAACTGAAACACATCATGTTTCTAACTCAGCTGGCACTGGTGGAAGCAAAACTCCAGAATGTTTGCTATCGATTCTACCACTTTGCCCTGCTTTCGTTTGTGTGGCACATATACTTATAGCTTAGGTTTTTTTTTTTTTTTTAAAGATTTATTTATTTATGCACACACGAATTGGGGTACAGGCCAGAGATACGGGGTTGAGAGGATTCACATGAGACAGAGTGGGGAACAGAACAGGCAGATCGACGGAAATACACTGCTGAGGGAGCAGCGGGCAAGTCAGGAGAGGTCTGCTGCGCCATGTGGGTTGCTCCCTGACCGGGGATCAAACTCCTGCTGCAGTGGCTGGAAATAGCTTCACAGGTTGCATCTTAACCCCTTGTGCCACCAGCGAGGCCCCTAGCTTAGGTTTTTTGTCCAACTCTTCCAATGAGAGTGGGCTCCAGAAGAGGGGAGCTCTCTTCTCTCCTTTTTACCATGGTCTTACTGGGCTTCAATCAGCACTGACACATAGTAAGTACTTCATAAATATGCTGACAAGTAAAACTGCTCCTGAGAAGGGACACGGAATGTGCTATACACGTCTTCACCTCCATTCCTGTGTCCCTGAAGCACCAAATCCTGCTGCACACAAGTCCCAACTCTGGTTAGCTCACCCTCTGCTCTCTCCTCAAAAAATTCAAAGCTGCAGCCCTACTCCACACTTAATTCTCTTAAACTAAACACTCAAAACTGTCTTGGAACAAAAGCCTGTGAATACATACATGTACTACATACTTTCCACTTTGATTCTATCTAGAGCACTGAAGAATGTCTCCTGGGGTTTCCTTCTGATGTCACCTGTCACTTGCCTGGTAGTTTTAAAAATACATAAGTACTTCAACATGGAATACCCCACACAATTATCTGAATTTTTTGAAGAAATGCATGATACATCTATTTCACCAATGTAAAAATTAATTAAGGATAATGAAATTCAGTGAACTCATTTAGGTCCAGTGATGGTCCAAACACTGGTTCTCTGATCCAAACTCCTCCCATTTCCACACTCAAGGCCTAGGTCAAATGTCCCCTCTTCTATAATGTGAGTGCAAAGTCTCATCTCATCTTCCCGTGGGATTTCTTTGCTATTTTTATTGAATGTTTATTGTGTTGGTAAAGTCATTTACCTGCTGGAATATACACTTCCATCTCCATGTATCGCTCCCGGAGCCACAAATTCTATACTATAAAGAACTGTGTATTTTTCATCTTTGTATTCTCCTCAGTAATGAGTGGGAGTCCAGTGAGAACCATCTGAATCTGACATATCCAGAGCTATGTCAAGGTTTGGAAGGAGAAGCCTCTAACCCCCACTACTCTGTACTCTACACATTTTCATTTACTTTTCACTATCAGCAACTTATTAAGTTATTTTACACATTCGTTGCAGTGTGCCTGACAAATGAGAACTAAGTATATTTAAGGTGTGCACAGCTTAAACAGTGTGAAATGAGCATTATAGTCAGCTAACGAATACAATCGCCACCTCACACAGTTGTGATTTTTTTGGTGTGTGGTGAGAACACTTAAGATCTACTCTTTTGGCAAATTTCAAGGACTCAATTGAGTGTCTTTAACAACCTCCATTAGTTCCCCAGGACTTAATCATACTGCATAACTGAGTCTTCGTTCTCTTTCATCCACATATCCCATTCTCCCCACCACCCCAGGCAACCACCAGAGCCTCACACAGGGCCTTGCACCAGTTAGGCAGTCAACACCGACGTAATGACAGTAGAGATAATCATGAACAGACAGCTAATTCAATCAAATCACATACGAGAAAATGGCCAAAGGGTCATGAAGATTCCCAGAAAACACCCCACAACTGCTAGCTTAAAGCACATCAAGTTCATAACAAAACACTGTACCTGTAGCTTTGACAAATGATGTGAAGCTAAATTTATATTTGCACTACTCCCTCCAAAACTCTTGCATGTGTGTACATGGGACCACATACAAAAATCACTGACAGTAGTGCTATCTGGAACAGCCAAAAATTGAACACTAAATATCTAATAACCTTTAAAACCTGGGGGGAATCTCCAAGTTAAAATTTGGGCCCAGGGTGTGTGCATTAGTGTCAAATGTCATTGCCCCCAGACCCTCAAGATGGAGAGAGGGAGCGAGGGAGCACATGTGCATTCCCCTTCCAGAGTTGAGGTGAAAAGCATGGATGCCATGCCATTATTACACTTACTTATCTGATCCACTCCATGAGTAACAAACCTCCCACCCCAACCCTGCCACTTGCTCTCTCACACAGAGGTTCCTTAGCCCACAAGGGATCTGTCACCTCTGCCAAAGGGTCCTCCTCACCCTGCTCAGGCTGTGACATAGCACAGCAGGCAGCCTAATGGCTTCAGGGCTGAGTTGTTCAGGGAGGGGAGAGATTCCAATTTAACACTTTTCAGAGATTTGATGTTTTCAAAGAATATTTGCTATAGAAAAATGCTTGCAACTGTTCATTTCACCTTAAGATGCACTGTATAAAAGCATGAAAAAAGTAACTGAAAACATAAAGTCACTTGACTGTAACTTGGACAATCTGTTTCCTGTTTTATGTGTTTCACAGTCTCGAATGTTTTCTGTAAACACACCAACTAAACCCTTTTTGGAAAGGGATTTTAAAATGCTATTTACTTCACATAGATCATAAATGTCTTTTTATGTCAGGATTACAAACATACTGTCAAATTTTCTGAGACAAGCGGACAAGAAAGCAAAGCTGTCTTCAGAGACTCTGTCCTGTACAGCAGGCATCTGCCGCCTGAAGGAAAAGTTACTGTTTTCATACTCACTGATGACCAAAGAGTCAAATAAAAGATTTAACATTGGGGACCCAGCCTTTGCATCTCATCCTGCATTGCTTTCCTTCAGCATCAGCACATCTTTAGGTCAGGACAACTTACAAGTCCTTCCTAGCAAGAAAAATTACATTTTTAAAATAATATGTGTTTTTTAACTTTTTTTTAACTTGAAATAACATTGCTTTGCAATATTAAATATGACTTAGAGGTAAGATCCCTTTCAGATGTTGTTAAAAACAATTACATTCCTTAAAAAAAGAAATATATAATCGGTGGAATACTATATAACCATGAAAAAGATACAGTGGCTTTTGATAAAATGGATGAATCTACAGGTGATTATGTTAAGGGAAGTGTCAGAAAGTGAAAGATGGGATGGTTTCACTCATCTGTGGAATATAAATAACCTTAAAACATACACAGGCAAAATATAGCAGGAACAAATCTTGAACATAGTCAAAGAACTTAATGGTTACCAAGGGAGAGGGAAGGGGAGGAGGGAAGCAGAGAAGGTATTTGCACAGGTAGTTTGGTGGAGGGTGAGTGGAATATGTACATATAAGGCGAAGCAAAAATGTAACCCCCAAGTTAAAATTAAAAATTACATAAAAAGAACAATTTATTCTTAATGTCAATGACTTACCATCCCTACCTATATAAACTAAAAAATCCAAACTTGTATTTATTAAAATAACTCTCAGAATAAAATCTGCCAGACTGCCTTCCAGATTCAAATCACAACTTTTGATTATCTGATAAATTCTTTGTCTAACTATTGCTACAACTTTACGTTCAGTTAACAGTAAGTCAGCATTCTCATGTCCACGGACACAGTATTCCTTTCATTGAACCTCAATTCATTTAGCTCTCCCCTTGTAATTTCCATTTGGGCTATTTTCAATTCATTCTCAAACAAAGCTGTGAATTGCTGGGGGCTTTCAACAAAGGACGCCAAATGCCTCACAGAAAGAGTTACCTGGGTTGAATGGTGAGGAAATGCAAGGAGATTCAAACCATGTACAGTGTGTACGTGTCAGAAGCCGTCAGGAGGTATCAAACAGAGCTGGGAAGGCTCCCAAGCCCCGAGGGTTGGGCTGTGGGCATGAGTGGCAATCAGCTCTGTGTCTCACAGGAGAAGGGAAGCTCCACTCACCTGTGCGCAGACCTTCAGGGGTTCTGGGGGCTTCTCATCCTGTTCTTCCATGCTCTCCTCCAGGCCCGGGGGTTGAGGTCCTGAGCACAAGAGGTAAAGCCCTAAGAACAGCACCCTCCAGCAGGTCCCCCTGCATTATCTGCTTCCCAGGAGTACTCACTCTGGCAAATGTGCTTCTAGAGGTTTCTGCCCAAATGCCTTTGCATGCACGGAGAGCTTCTGTCCCTCCCACAGGCTATGACTGAGCTTTTACCTAGTTCCTAAACTCTCAAAGGTCTTTGGCCCACCTACCCATAAGCCAGCCTCAGCTTTCCATCTACTGCCAAAATCTGAAACATCTCTCCGTCCCTCTCTATCCCACTAGGTCCTGGGATCCCTACAAACAGCACATGCATTGAGAATCCCCTGCGATGCACTCCTTCCACCCAGGCCTGCGTCTGCAGCCCCAAACCAGCACCTCTTCCCAGGGCAAGCAGCAGGATCTGGGCTAGAGTGCCCAGAGTCACACTCCTGGAATAAACACACACAGCTCATGACACAGGTGTGCCCCTCCCAGGGGCCAATCCAGTGATTAAGACTGATCCTATATGCTTCATTAACCAGGCCTGGCCCTCTGCAAACTCTCCTAAGCACCTCCTTCCTGCGCAAACAGCCAAGTGTAGGTACAGAACTCAGCTGCTCTCAGGACTAGGCCACAACAGAACATCGCCAGCCCATATCCCCATCCCAAGTCCCCAGGTTCTGAGATTATATTGCTAGCTCCCTGGCCTGGCTGTGCCACCAATCTGGGTGTCCTTGGGACCTAACTGGCAACAGAGACTGGACAGGGGCCTCAGGACAAATACCAGTACCTGGAGGCCATGGGCAGCCCCATCCGCCTACCCCTCCGGATTTGCATCTCAGTAGCTCAGTTGTCTTCATACCAATCACTGTTTCTGGGTCAGAGAAAAGACCAGCCCCTGGCGAATCCCACCCTCTCTTCCTCCTACCCACCCCCTCTCTGCCACAGTATTCACGATGTTGTACCCTGGACCTGTGCCCAAATCCAGTTTCTGCCACCAATCTCCAAAGGCCCCTACTCGAGTCTCCAGTCCCAACTCCAGCCCAAACATCTTCCTAGGCACCTGCAGCTCAGGGAGAGCCTGTCCTTCCATCCAGGCATTGTCAGGCTGTGACTGGGGCGACATCTGCACTGGGGCAACCCAGCGCCCACTGTCCAAAACCCACTGCAGCTTCTTGTTTCTCACCCAAACACCTGTGCACCTGAGCAGAGGGCTCTACTTCTCTGCCACCCTGAATCTTCAGTTGCTCCCTTCACTGAGGGTATCCTCAGACAAGAACAGGGTCCTAGCACTATCCAGGCTTCCCCATTCCGCCAAAAGTTAGGGCAAGTGCAGAATGTGGCTGGAGCAGCCTCCACCCTACCGAGACCAGAGGCTGCAGCTCCACCTGGGGCCTCAGGCTTCTCTTCCAACAGCCACTGCACAGAGTCAAGTGTACCTTCCTCCTGCTGGCACACCCATGCATGCACAGGGCAGGCTCATGCCCACAACTTGCATTCAGGACCCAGGTCATCTCCCTTTTCCTAAGATGAGAAACTGTATCCCCACTCGCTTACTTGGGGCACCAATGGCACCCATACCCATAATCTTCCTGAGGGTTCTGGGGTCATCTGCCCCACCGCCTGACTGCCACCAGAACATTAGGGCACCCAAACTGTAGCTGGGGCGCAGAGCTCAGTCAGCCCCAGGGCTTGGGCATTCACCTAAGGGTTCTCAAGCTCATGAGAGGGCATCACCTATCAGATGGTGTTGGTCCTTCCCCTTCCTCTGGCCCAAACGGGAGCCCCAGGGCGCCATGCAAGGTACAGCCCGTTCCAGGTTGAAATCTGCAGTCAGACTGTCCCTCTGTTAGACCGAGCATCCTCAGGACTGCAAGCAGAGCATGGCACCCTTGAGCAAAGATCCCAGAAACACCCACTTCATAATGGTACTTTCTCCCCAAACTGCTGTTGATTTCACCTCATCTATTGCAACTCTATCCTTTCTGGGCTCAGAATTTTTACCTCCAACCTAGTTTCCACCTAACTTGAATGACGGGCAGAGGATCCCAGGTCTTTCCAAGTTCCTGCATCCCATTCAGACACCCCAGACATGGGCAGGGAACGCCTGGCTAGAATCTGCTTCTAAGTCCCTGGTCCTCCTCCAATCTCGAGTCCCACCGAGGGCTCACTGAAGTAGACTGCCTCTCCCAGGGCAAGAATCTGCAGGGCCAATGTGATCTCTCCACTACCTGGGGCGCCCTCAGTTCTCCAAGAAGAGCAGCGACTGCTACTGGGTCCCAGAACCAAATGCCCAGAATCTCATCTCCCCCTCAAGAGTCCGGGAACCAGAATCTGCAATTGAGTATTCCACCAACCCAGTCATCCTCAGGTCCCCCACTAAACTAAGACCCAGCCTTGGATAGGGGGGAGGCGGGGTTCTCAGGCTCTTCCCACATGCCTGCATAGGACCCGCCTTGCACCAACCTGGGCAGCCTCAGGGCATCCTCAGGGCACCACCTGACCAAGCACCAGTCACGCACGCGCGTAAGACACAGTCCCTGCATCTGCAGTAGCATCAGCCTCACCACCAACTTCCGTGAACCCAGGCCGAAGCGCCGCCCGCGCAGGTCCCAAATTTACTCACACTCCCCGAACCAGGTTCCCGCCTAGACCCTGCGCATGCGCGCCAGAGACGCTCAGCGCTGCCCCGCCCCTCACCAACCTGGGCGTCCGGGGACGAGCGGCCCGGGTGAGGCTCGCCTCAGCCTCGGTGCCCGGCGCCGCCCTGCGGCAGGCCAGACTCGATTTAGCAACCCTCTGCTGCGACTCTGCACAAGACTCGGGTTTAACTGGCTCGGCCCCCTCCCTTGGTCGGCATCCACTAGGACGCTCGGGTAACCTCCGAAGGGCTGAGGTATGCGGCGAGAGCCAGCGTCCGCGCGCGGGACAATGGCTGCGCTTCTGGTCGAACCCGGAAGTGCGTGTGGTTCGACTACACGGAACTACAATTCCCAGAAGCCACAGCGGCGCGGTGGGCTAAGACGCCGATTCCAGCGCCCGGGAGTTGGAAGTGGGCGTGGGAACGCGGCTGGACATGAAGGAGTTGTCAGACTGGGGGCCCGTCTGGGACCCTGCCTGTCCGAGTTTTGGGTGGCGCGGAGGTGGGGAGGCGGAGCAGGGAGCCGAGGACAAAGCAGCGATGCGTTAGGACAGGAATCGGTGCCCCTGGACTCGGCTTGATGACCTCGAGTGACCCTGTAAACGGAATCGAGAGGGAGACGTCCTGGACCCCTCCTGAGTGCCTGCTGCCTTGGCAGATGCTCCTCGCGCACTGTCTCTTGATTCTCAAGATAAACCTGTGAGATTGTTGGGACAAAGGCGTTTTACAGTCTAGGAGGGTTTCATTAACGCCCTCAAAAGTCTGTTTTATGTCCTTAGTAACAGTAAAATGCCTTCCACTCCCTGACGGATTTTCTGGCTCGGCCCCAGTCTTTTCATCTCCAACAGCTCAAGCAGGCTCTCACCTCAGGACCTTTGGAAGTGCAGTTCCTGCTGCCTGACAGGCTTTTACTTTGAGAATTCCACTAAGCTCTCAATATCTGGTTTTTCAAGAGCTGTCACCTCATGAGGCATTCCCCCATCACACTGTAAACTTACAAATTCTGCACTCCCCAGTACTCCCTGCCTCTCTCCTCGTCTTTGTGGTTTTTTTTTTTTTTCCTGGAGAACTTTTCACTAACACACTGTATACTTTAGGTATTTGTTTCGTGTATTGTTGATCTGCTTCTATCAGCTTCACAAGGGAAAAGATTCATTTCTATTTCGATCAGTGATGTATCCCCAGCACCAAAGGGACCTGGCATACAATAGATGGTTAATAAATATTTGCTTTGCTTTGACTAAATAAAACTCATGACTCTATATTAAACTTTTAACATCGAACAAGCAGCACAGTCACCCTGTGGGAAAATTGTCATCTTTATTTTCACCTAACCTGGGGAGAAAGCTAAAAATTGGAACCCAGCTATGTGAAGATATATTTTTGAGGTTTTACAAAGTGTTATAAAGTACTGTAGTTTTCCTCACATAAATTCTGCTCTTTAACAACCACAAATATTATTTGTGGTTTGTGATTTGAAATGTATTATTTGAAATGTACTATTTGAAATGTAATCTCTACCCCCTAGAGTTTCTTATAATACATTAATGTGGTTGATGGTTTTTTTTTTAAACATTTAAACTCTTTTTTTTTTTTAAGATTTATTTATTTATTTTATACAAGCATTGGGTACAGTCAGAAGCACGGGAAGGTGAGAGAATTCACCAGAGCCAGAGCAGAGAGTAGAGCAGGCAGACTGACGAAGTACACTGCTGAGGGGAGCAGCGGGCGGCAGGAGAGGTCTGCGCGCCGTGTGGGACCCTCCTCCGGTGGCCGGGAAGCAGCCAGGGATGGAACCAGCGCTGCAGAGGCTGCGGGCAGCTTCGCAACCCAGCTGTGCCACCAGGGAGGCCCATGATGTTTTTAAGATACTTCTTTTTTATCTAGTGAGCCTACTAATATTATGAATTCTTACCATGTTTCATGTGATTCTCTTGACATTTCTAGTGAGACCATCCTCTTCAGACAGTAATTTCACCTTTTTAACCAGCATTTTTACCACTTTCCCTTTGATAATAGATTGCATTGGCTACCATTTTCAAAACAGTATTAGTAAAAATGGCATTCCTATTTGTGTTTCTTTTTAATGGTATTTCTTCAGCAAATCTCATTCTCACCATCTCCACCACTCAAGTCCCTCAGGAGTCTAAGGATCTCATACCTATTCCTTCCCAGGTACCTCAATAGTTTGCTTCATTCTATGTTTGCTATTGTCGTCTCTTAATCGCTCCTTGCTTCTTTTCTCCACCATGATTTGAAAAGACACTGTCTGACCTCTCCCTACGTCCCCTGCTCAGATGAGGGGATGTCCATCATCTATGATCTGCCATCCTCGTGTTGGAGCTGTGGCATCTCCAGCTGCTGGATCTCTAAACTTGATCCTCTAATTCCAGGTCACTTTTTCTCTGTTTCTATTGCTTATAAAGAAACAAGAGTCAAAAGAGTAAGATGCGGCGGGAGCCCAGGTCCGGAGCCCAAACAACACATCGAAACAGAACATCACGAAGTCTATAAAGAGAAAGGCTGGAATATATTGTGCACTCAGTACATTTCACTGACTATATGATTAAGTATGGTTTCTCTGGGTGTTCTGGAGATGGAATCACTCCTTCCATTAGACCTTGGGTTTGATATGATAGTAAATGCTGCATTCTGGATTCACCAGCACCTGCACACAAAGAGAAAAGATGAATTTCATTTTCTGGGCAGGCTCTCCTGGTCTACTGCTGTAGTCCAGGGGTCAGGCACTCTGACACTCTCCCTATCCTTACAAATTGCAAAGATCTTCCTCCTTTCTCACTGTAACTCAATCACTATATTTCTGTTCCCAGAATGGCCCATATACTTACCCACTGTGGAGGACACACTCTAAGGTGGGCCCTATAATCTCTACCTCCTGATAGTCACACCCTCTGTTTCCCCCTTCCCTTGAGGGCAAGACCTGTGACTTGAATCTAGTCAGTAAAATAATGCAAAGGTAGCAGGATAGTCATGACTGCATGTACTTGATTCTGTTACATAATTCCATGACTTTTGATTTCAAAGAAGCAAGATGCAATGTGAGTTGCCTGTGGAGAAGGTCACATGGCAGAAGGTTGAGGATGCCCTCCAATTGACAGCCAGTGGGAAACAGGCCCTAATGACAGCCTGCAAGGACACGAATGTTGCCAATAACCCCATGAGCCTGGAAGTGGATCCTCCCCTAGTGGAGCCTCAGATGAGACTTAGGCCTTAGCAAACACCTTGATGGCAGAAGATGCATCCAAACAATTCCTGGACTTCTGACCCACATAAGTGAGATAATAAATCTGCTCATTTGTTTGTGGTAATTTGCTATGCAGCAACAGATAATGCCTTAACCCACCTCCAAGCTTATCACTTGATAGCCCTCAACTTGGAATATTCCATTCCAGACCCTTTGCAAGTTTCACTCACCCCTCCACAATGTAACAGACCCTGAGTGGGCTGACCTGACATTCTTTGTCAAAACTTCTCCCTTGTCTCCTTCTATTGAAGAAACTAGGAAAGATAACACCTCACTTTCTCAGCTCATTCACGACAGCATTCTGGCCAAGGAGATGTAAGAGGATGTTGGGGATTGAGATTTCCAGGAAGAGCTATTGCTCTACTGATAAAAGGCAACCAACATGGCTCCCCTTCCCAGGCCCTGATGAAGGGAGGTTAAGTGTGTACAGTTCATAGATGATCAGAAAGCCAACAAACCTAAAACAATCCATACAATCCCCCGACCAATCTGATTCTCCTCTGGTGAATTTGAACCTGGAAACCCTAAAACAGTGGTAGAGGATGTTGTTATATGTAAGTGGAAGTTATGGAGAAGTGACCAGATACTTGCATAGGAATTCAATCTGGATTGAGAAGAGTGAAACATATTCATAGATCAACAAAAATAAGCAAGCACATGAAAGAGAAACTTCATCTCCATGAGGCCCACAAGTTATTTCTGAAATTGAGCTATTCAAGATTCCCTAGTATTCTCCCAATGAATTCCCATTTTACCTGAATTACCTTCAGAGGGTTTGTCTTTCTTAGTAAAAAAAATCCCTAAGGTAAGTAGGACATTTGCATCTTCTGAGAATGGTTCATTTGTCAATTGGTCTTAAGTTTGCCACCTTCTAATGTATCCTCCAAAGTAACTGATCTGTCCTCTAGAATGACAGGAAACACATTTGTCCCTCTACTCTGAGCCAGCACGTCACTAAAACATTAGTTTTCTGTCCCTAAACTTTCTCTTTTCTGAACACAACAAAACACTGTCAACAGGACATGGATTGAGCTCCTGTTCTGGCCTCCCTGTTCTGTTTCCCTCCTGTGGGTAAGTTGTGTATGGTCACTGACTCCTTCAGAGTATAGGGTCTACAGTCTAACCCTAGGCATGGAGTGACCCGGCCAGTCCTGACATGGCGCTGCTATCACCTACGCTCTCTAAAGTAATTTTATAGTCTTTAGAACAAAGGAACCATCACCTGAATTACCTGAACTTGATATGGGAAGCTTTATTTATACCTGGATAAGCTAATAGTATGTTTCCCTTTAGGTAATGAAACAGATCACACCTCTCTTTATTTGGCCACCAAGAAACTCAAGGACAAATAAGTATAGGGACAGATATCCAGTAGGCCCAACATATTTTTACTTTTTATCCATATTTTGACTTTCTACTATTTAAGATTATCTTCCTGTTTGTGGTTCTTATTTTGAATTTGGCGTCTTTTTGTAGTGTAGAATATAACCACATGCTGTGAGCTGCCTCACATCTCCCATGAGGAAATCACAAGGAAGTAAATATAAAAGAAAATAAAAGATGGGGGGGAAGGACATTTATTAAAAAGGAATAGACTGTTTAAAAATGCAATTGAAAGGGATAGAAAAGGCAAGAATGTAGAGAAATGGAATAGAACAGGAAGAAATACAACTGAGATTAAAAACAAAGAATGGAGTGGAATAAAATGGCATCGTGTCCATAGAAGGTGGAATGAAAGGGGGGCTTCCCTGGTGGCGCAGGGGGTTGAGCACCAAACTGTGAAGCAATCCACAGCCTCCGCAGCGACGAGTTCGATCCCTGGCCGGCCAGGGAGAAACCCACATGGCGAGGCAGACCTCTCCTGTCTCTCCCACAGCTCCCCTCAGCAGTGTATTTCAGTCAGTCTTCCTGTTCTGTTCCCCACTCTGTCTCTGATGAATCCCCTCACCCCCCTCATCTCTGGCCTGTACCCCAGCTCTTGTATACATAAATGAATAAATCTTTAAAAAAAAAGTCATAAAAGAAAAAAAGAAAGTAAATGAAAGGGATGGAAGGAAATGAAAAGGAATGAAGTCAAATGAAATGGAGTGGAAAGAAGAGTAGTGAGAGTAGTGAAGTGATGTATAGGAACAGAATGGAAGAGAGTGGAAAGGAAATGAATTTAATGAAAGATACAACAAAAAGCAGTGCAATGAACAAGAGAAAAGGAACGGAGAAGAAATTACTAAAAAGTAATGTAGCAAAGGAAAAAAATACGGGAATTAAAGAATGGAAATGAAGGTGTGAAATGGAAGAGAGTTAAAAAAGGATGGATGAAATGCTGTGGCATCTAAAGTAATGACATGGGCCTCCCCTGGTGGCGCAGCGGTTGAGCACTGGGCTGTGAAGTTGCCCGCAGCCTCTGTAGTGCCGGTTCTATCCCCAGCCGCCGGCGAGGGTCCCACATGGCGCGACAGACCTTTCCTGCTGCGCCCACTGCTCCTCTCAGCAGTTTATTTCGTCAGTCTGCCTGTTCTGTTCCCTGCTCTGGCTCTGGTGAATTCTCTCACCCTCCTGTGCTTCTGACTATAAGCAGTGCTTGTATAAATAAATAAATAAATCTTTATAAAAAAATAAAATAATGACATGGGATTGAATAAAACATGCAGGAAGTCCACAGTAATGCAAGGGGATGAGAAAGGCTGGAATGAAGTTGTAAGGACATAAGTGGAGTGGGATGAAAGGATTTGAAAACAAGAAGCTGGAATGAGAAGAAGCAAAGACAACAAGAGTGGGGTTCTATGGAAGGGGGGGGAGGAGAGGCTGGAATGACATACAGTAGGAAGTAATGGGCTATAGAGGATTGAAAAGGAGAAGGAGGGAAGAGAATGGACAACAGTAAAACAGAAATGAATGGAAAGGGAAGGAATGGGGAAGAGGAAATGAAGGGAACAGAAAGAAGGGAGTGAACAAAAAAAGTGAATAGAAAACAAGTATACAGAATGAGAAGAAACTGAACCCAGTGGGATGAAATGGAAACCAATCAAATGGAAATGAATGTGCACGGAAGAGTGAGTAGAAAGAAATGATGTGGTAGGAGATAGAACAGGTTAAATATGAATGGAAGGAACCGGAAGAAATGGGTCAGAAAGAAAAAGAATGGCAATGAAATAAAATGACAGGTGGAGATGGAGTAAGAAGTGTAGAACAGGAGGCAGTGGAATGTGGAAGAAAGGGTGGAATGGAAATAAAAAATAACACCAGTGATCAGAATGAAAGGAATGGAGGGCCTCCCTGGTGGCGCAGTGGTTGAGCGCTAGGTTGCGAAGCTGCCCGCAGCCTCTGCAGCACTGGTTTGATGCGAGGGTCCCACATGGCGCGCAGACCTCTCCTGCCGCCCGCTGATCCCCTCAGCAGTGTACTTCGTCAGTCTGCCTGTTCTGTTTCCCGCTCTGGCTCTGGGTAATTCTCTCACCCTCTTGTGCTTCTGACTGTACCCAGTGCTTGTATAAATAAATAAATAAATAAATAAATCTTTAAAAAAAAGGAAAGAAAGAAAGAAAAGGAATGGAGTAAGCTTTGGAAAGGAATATAGACATGGGGTTGAAATGGAATGAAAGACATGGAGCAGGGACGGAAGAAGTGGAATGGAGGAAAACGGATTGGCAATCCGGTGATTGGGATAAAGGAAAAATGAAATGGAGTAAAGTTAAATGGCTTGGAAGAAATAGATAGAGTGAAAAATAAATAGGATGAAAATGTGTGGAATGGAGTGGACTGGGAAGGAAAGGAATGAAATGGACTAGAAAATGATAGGCTGGAAAAGAAGGGAGTTGAAAAGATGTTTAAGGAAATTCTAGACGGTTTATCCTACAGACGCTTCAGCAAGGAGAAAAAGGCAGATGGGTGCCAGCTCTTGTCCAAAGACTCAGTGGGACAAAAAAATACCTCGTAGTCTGACTCCGTGTCCCCTTGTGGTGGAGTGGGGGCCAAGGCAGGCTGCAAGAATTTGGGTGATGGCTTTCTGTCGCTGTGAGAATAGCTCCTGGGAGTTGTGGAAGCCAGCTCTTTCTGCAAGTGGAAAGAGAGATCAGCTAGGGTCCACAGATACAGATTACCTGAGATTCCAGAAAATGCCAACTTGCATACTTCAGAGACCCACAGAGGAAGAGATTCATCCAGAGCTTTATAAAGAGCAGTGGCAGAGTAGGGTTAGGACTCTTTCCTTGCAGCTGGCTACCTCTGCAAACTCTACTCTAAAACTTCCTTCATGCTCCAGCACAAGCTAGGCCAGTACCACCTCATTTACATTCCAGTGCCAAGAAGCCCTGGAAGTGGAGGCAACATAGAAGAGGAGCCAGAGTCCTAGAATCTGTCCCAGTTCCCTGGGAGGCCTTGGGTCACTTTCCCCCCCCCCATCCCTGGAGCTACAATACACAAGAGTTAGATAATATAGTTTCCCAGATGTGAGGAATACAAAATTCTCATGTTGCATCCCTGCTGCAGCTTCTTGGGAAAAGAAAGCACAAAATTCTTGGGGCTCGAGGTAAAGGTCACTTCCAGAAATTTTCAGAAAAAGCTTTGGCCTCCCGGAGGGATTCAAGGTGAGGCGTTGTCACATTGGAGAATAAGGGGACAAGGAGAGGAGACACAAAACACAAGGAGTGTCTAGAGAATCCCAGAGAAGGCAGGGGAGGCAATGCAGACACCCAACTGGGAGAACATTCCTCACCCCTGCACCCTGAAGGGTGGGACTGGAACAGCCCTGCTGGGCGGGGGAGCAGGGAGGGCTCCTCTGGAGCATCACCTACCTTCTGGACTCCATCCCATGCTTGAGGTTCAGGCACGTTGGCATACACATGCTGTGACCAGTCTAAAGAAAAGTGGACGTCAGCCCATGGCTGAAGTTAGGAGGAGATATGAGGGAAGGGGCTTGGCTTTCTAGGCCAGTCCTACCCTCAGAAAGGAGATGACAGAAACCTTCCTTTCTCCCTAGGGTTCCTACTTCATTTCTAGTGAACCTGACCTGGGAGTGTCCTGGAAATCAGATTCTGGGATAGGGAAGGCTGCTTGAGGACACAGATGAGGATGGAAATCGAAGACCTAACCCACTTATGTCCATGGGTCCTCAGTAGCCTGCTTTTAACCTTTCTCCTTCCTGGCGATGGTTTTCTTTCTGTAAAACTGAGCTGGATTGGATGGTCTCAATAGGACTTCCATTCTGCAAAGCACATCCTTCCAGAATCTTAAGCCAGAGTGGCCAAGGCATTTCACTTTGTCTTTGGTCAATTCCAATTCATTAGTAGACAGTGCTCGAGGATAGTGTTGAGATGGATTATGAGTCTGGGTTTGGATACAACAGGGAGCAGTGTTGTAACTGATTTTGTCTAGAGCAAGTTAAGAGGTTTTCTGAGAGCGAGGAAGGAGAGAATGGTAGCATATTGCCTCATCTTTGAGATGGCTGTGGGAACAGATAGAACCTTGCAGAGTTCTTGACCCCAATCTCACCCATTTTCCAGATGGGGACACTGAAGCTTGGAGAGAGCAGGGCCTGCCCATGATCACATAATGATCTGGTGGCAGAATTGGGAGCAGAAGCCTGGGGTCCCAGCACCAGCCTCTGCCAGCCCTCAAGGCTGCCCTGGGCTTCAGCTACAGAGTCACTTACAAGAATTGGGTGCGGCAGGGTGCTCCTTCTCAGAGGTGGGTGTTACAGCCTCATGGATGGGTTCTTCTGTTGTTTTCCTTGAAGACCAGAAATCCCAAAGCCCTCACTCTTCTGTTGCACAGCCTCTGCCCATATCCCATGCCCATTCTTGGACAAGACCCCAATTCCCTGAATCTCCCCCCACCTCCATTTCTTGGACACAGCTCACCACTATGGTCAGTGACACCCCTCCAAAGCAGGCCCCATGAAGGTCACCCCCACTCCCACAGCCCTATCCCAGCTTACCTGCTGGTATTTCTGAAGTAGAGGAAGCAGCCCAGCCCTGTGGCCAGGGAGATGATAACCAGAATCCCAACAGCAATGCCAGCCAAGGTACTTGCAGGCAGGGACGACTGGGGACCTGGGCAGGGGGAAAGAATCAGGGTCCAGGTCTGGCACAACCTCATGCCTGCCCCCAGCCCCCTCCCTGTGTGCTGGGGGGGGTGCACCTGAGGGACTCACCTATCGCTCTGACCAGGACAGAGGCAGAGCAGGTCAGGTGGGTCAGAGGGTTGAAGACCGTGCAGTTGTAGGTCCCCTGGTGTTCCTGGGACAGGGCCTCAATGATCAGCTGCTCTCCGGTATACATCGCAGTTGAGTGTTTGAAGGTCCAGTGATATTCAGGTATTGGCTGAGACTCAGCCCGGCAATTTAGGGTCAGGCTGGTGTTGAGCTCCACCTCCACGATGCTGACTGCCACAGAAGCCTCCCCCCTGGTGATGTCCACTCGGTCAGGGCCATCTGTGCGGAGACAAAAATTCTGCACTCTTGGGCCTCCCTGATGGTGCAGCGGTTGAGTGCTGGGTTGCGAGGCTGCCTGCAGCCTCTGCTGCACCGGTTCAATCCCCGGCCACCGGTCGAGGTTCCCACATGGCGCGCAGACCTCTCCTGTCACCCACTGCTCCCCTCAGCAGTATACTTCGGTCCTTCTGCCTGCTCTGCTTCCCACTCTGGCTCTGGTGAATTCTCTCACCCTCCCGCGCTTCTGACTGTACCCAGTGCTTATATAAATAAATAAATAAATCTTTAAAAAAAAATTCTGCACCTATCTTCCACTGGCAAGTTGCCCAAGCCTGCCCTGTTTGCCTTCCACACAGGAAGTCCTGATTTATTTTTTTTTTTTCATCTCTTTTCTAAAGGAATTTCAGACTGTGGCCTGGAAAACAAAGACTCTTTTTTAACTGCTGATGAAAGGAAGCTCAGCCAAATAAGGAGGAGGAAATACTCCCCTTTTCTCCTTAGCTGCCTGGCGAGCAGACTGTTGTCCACACCGTGGATAGTAAACAGAACAAAACAAGAACCGTGCCTTTACAAAGGTGAATGCTAACAGAGCCTCATAGGACATCCAGGCATAGACCCTGTCCTCTATCCTGTGAACATAGCCTCTAAATTTCTGAGAATTTACTGTTTTGATTGGATGTCTTACTTCACAGCACAGGACCCTGTAACAGTCTTCTAATTTACATCTGTAGAGATACTTGCAGATTTTTTTTTGTAAATCCACCTCCTGCCCATTCTCCGATTACCCTTTGAATCTGTTCATTTCTCCCTGTCTTAAGTTCTTAATCACCAGGATCCCTCATATGGCCCCTCTTGATGGTCCCTCCCCATGCTGGTCTTAATTCCCCTGCACAGCAGCCAGCGGGGTCTTCTTAAGTACAAACTGGACACTATTCCTCCTCTGTTCAGAACCCTCTATGGCTCCCCAGTGTCCTTGGAACAAAGCTCATGGTTGACAAACCCATTCACAATCTGACCCTAGTGGATTCCTCTCCAGCCCCATCCCTCAGCTCTCCATACCTCCCATTCTCAATCCAGGAATAAAATCCTGCTTGGAGATCTCGTCCCGGTCATGTTCACTCTTGCCACAGAGCCTTTGCACATTCTCTTCCTTCTGCCTACAATGCTCTTCCTCGAATAAGCTCAATTTAGCTAATTGCTCATCCTTCAGATCTCATGGTAGAGAGCCTTCCCACACACTCCAGACTGGGTGGTAGTTTCCTTTGGGTTCCCCAGATCCTCTCAGCTTTCCCTCTGGTGGCACTTACACTATATTTAATCTGCCTTTTCACCTCCCTGTCCCCAGTAGGCTGTGAGTCTGAAAGTCATGGCTTTTATCAAGTGCCCAGCATAGTGCTCAGCATAGAGAGAACAAAATGGTCATTTTTGGTTTAATGACTGAAGAAGGAAGGAAAGAGGAGGAATCAACAGAAGGAGGCAAAGGAGAAAAAAATAGACTCAACCTCTCTCTATAGCCTCCTTTTTTATAAAAAAAGATTTATTTATTTATGCATATAAGAACTGGGGTACAGGCTAGAGGTGCGGGAGGGTGAGAGAATTCACCAGAGACAGAGCAGGAAGCAGAACAGGCAGAAGGACCAAAGTACACTGCTGAGGGGAGCAGCGGGCGAGATAGGAGCGGTCTGCCTCTCCATGTGGTAATCTCCCTGGCCACCTGGGAATCGAACCTCGCTGCAGGGGCTGCGGACAGCTTCACAGCGCAGCGCTCAACCCCCTGTGCCACTGGGGAGGCTCTCTTTCTGCTTCTTAACATGTATTAACAGTGGACTCCTGCTTTCTCTTGTGGCAGAAACCTCTTCTCCCCCAGTCTCCCTTCAGTTCTCTTGCCTTAGCTGCCTACATGACACACTCCTGCCTCCTCCTGTCTATGCACAGGGAGCACCTCCTCAGGGAGACCTCCCTTAACCCCTCCAGCTAAGAATGCACCACTGTCCTTCTTACTGCCTCCTGCTTCTCCTTAACCTTAGCCCCATCAGTCATGCCATGTGTCTCCCTCGCATCGCTGTTTATAGTCTGTCTCCTCTGCTAAAAGGTAAGTTCCTTGAGGGCAGGTGCTTTGTCTTGTCCAGTGTCCAGAGCAGGTATGAGCTAATCATGCTTGGCACAGAGCAGGTATGAGCTAATCACGGAATGAGTGACTAGAAGGAAGAAGGAGAGGGAGGAAGGGAGAGAGGAGGAGAAGGCCCACACTTGGGGTGACTCACAGTGGATGGTTAATTTGAGCGGGTCACTCCGCATCCGGCTGCCCCAGTTCCAGATCTCGCATTCATAGGGCCCTGTGTCATTCCACAGGAGGCCGCGGATGGCCAGGGTCCTATTGTTGGCAGACAGCACCAAGCGCTCACTAGGCAGGAGGGGCTGGTACCTCAGGAAACATTGGACCCCCGCCACCTCTTGGGTGGTCTGGCAGGTCAGGGCCATGGAGCTTGAGGTCTCCATGAGATCCAAGCTTGGGGACATGATGTAAGTCTTGGTCAGCCTTTCTGAAAATACCTGGAGATACAGGGTGGGCTTTGAGGACACTTCCCCAGCCTCTTGCCCATGTGGGGGTCACAGGGTTTTCCAAGGATGTATGTATATGTGCTGTGGGTGAGGTGTGTATGTCTGTGCTTTGTCTGTAGCAGCACTGCATGAGTGGTATGTGTAAGTGTTTTTTGTAAGAGTTTGTGTTGGGTGTGTGTATGAATTCTGTGGGAAGCATGTGAATTTGTGATGGGCTTTGTGTGTCTAGAGATTGTGTAGTGTATGACTGTCTTTGCATATGTTGTATGTGTGTATGTTTGACACTGAGGTGTGGGTGGTATACATGTGTTCTTTGTATGTGTGTGGTATGTATATTTATGTATGTTGTACACTTGTGGTATTGTGTGGTACTGTATGTCACATGGATGCATTGTATGATGTGTACATGTTTTGTGTATGATTGTATTGCACGTGAACTATGTTTATACAGTCAGTTGTGTGCATATGTTGAGGATGTTGAATGTGATGTGTTTTCTGTGTAGTGTGAGAGGATATTTCATGTCTGTGATGTGTGTTGTTCATGCATGTTGTACACATGTCATGTGGCATGAGTTTTACGTGTGCTGTGTCTGTGTAATTGTGTGTCATATGTGAGACATGTGCATCCACGTTCTGTGTGTACTGCATGTGTCATGAACTTATGTGAGTATATATGTGTGTATGTGCTTTGGGTTTATGTGTACAGTGTATGTGTTATGTATGCGAGGTGTTATGTACTGTGTATGGTTTGTGTATCTGTAGTGTGCATGCTATATGTGTTTCTGTAAGTGTTGTCACCTCTGTGATACTATATACTATGTGTGTTGCATGTGAGTTATATGTGAATGTGCTGTGCCTGTGTGATTATTTGCATGTGTGTCCTTGTGTATATGCAGTGTGTGAGTGTTATGTTAGTATGTATGTATGCAGTGTCTGTATGTATGCAGAATCAACCCCCATTCCCCTCCACACACACATTTCCAGAGATCAAATCATGGGCATCCCACAAAAAGCCAACAAGGGCTTGTGAAGGATGTGCTGAGCCAGGAAGAGTTCCATCCCTGTGACCAGAGCCCCACTCTGCCACCTGCTACACGGGAAGTCAGCACTCCTCTGTCCTCCCCCAAATCTAGGACACTGGTGTAGCTGATTCTCAGGCAAACAAGTACGGAACAGGGTAGAGACTCACCGAGGACTCGGACTTCAAGAGTACCCAGGTGGGACAGTTGGGTGACATTACTGGACACCAAGCACTTATACATGCCCTTGTGTTCCCTGGATGCAGCTGGATGGTGAATGTGGTTATAGTAGAAGATTGGACAGAGTCATTGGGGAGGAACCAGAAAAAGGCAGGGAGCGGGTAAGACTGTGTCTCCACTGAGAAGATCATGGTGGAGCCCTCCATCACCTCAACCACCTTCCCATTGGGTACACCAGGCTGCAACTTGATTTCTATGGTGTCAGGACCATCTAGGAGGATAAGAACAACCACAGCAACAGCTCTCTTTGGGGGAACTTAGAAGACCAATACAGACTAGCATTTCTTTTCCCCCACCCAAATTCTGGATCAATTACAGAGATGCAGAGGTCCAATGGAGATTAAAAGTGAGTATTATCATTGGGTAAAGCACAACTGGAAGACATGTCTTCTTTTTTTTTGTGGGACTCTCGCCAGCGGCCGGGGAACGAACCAGCACTGCAGAGGCCGCAGGCAGCCTCGTAGCCCAGCGATCAACCGCTGCACCACCAGGGGAGGCCCTGGAAGACATGTGTTAAGCAAGCTGGCAACTGCTCTTTCCCCCCAAGACAAGATTTTGAATCAAATATCCACAGGTGAAGGAACTCAGTTTTAGGGCTGTTAAGCTGGGTGTTTCCATCGGGATCCGAGTGGAAACATCAATTATATGCCTCAAGAGTAGATGAGTCCACATTTGGATGGTATTTAAAGCTGTGAGACAAAATTAGATCACCAAGGAAGTAGGTGTCAGTGAGAGGCGGGGGAGAATGGAAAGGGACTCACAGTTCACAGTCAGGCAGATGAGATTACTGTTCTGGAACTGGACTCCACTCTGGACTTTACATTGGTAAGTTCCGAAGTCCTCTCGGTGGACAGTGAGGATGGTGAGGGTCTTGCCATCTGCTGACAGATGCATACGCTCGTGGATCACCAGGGGGAGGTTGTTGGAGACCCAGTGGATGGTAATGTTGACGTCATTGGTGTCACAGTGGAAGCTCACATTTTCTTTGTGCTCTATGACGGAGTCATGGCTGACTGTAATGGTAGGCTTGGCTAGCAATTCTACAGAAGGAGAAAAAGGGAAACAGAGGCAGAGACATAGAAAAACACCTGGCAAGAGTTACAGAGGGACCCAGACAGACATGAATGGATTGGAATTGTCAGAAGACTGTAGCTCAACGACTGGTTTCAAATGCCAGATCTGTTCACTCTAGGTGAGATACTGGGTAACTTACTTTCCCCCTCTAAGTCCCATGGAAAAGGGATTGTACAAATAAAGCAGAGGGTCTAGGACATGACAATTGGTCCATGCACATCAGCTTCAAAGAGAATCAAGCTTGTAGTAGGGATGCCAGTAAAGTTCCCCTGCCCACTTAGCCAACCTTTCCCAACACAGCCATGACAGCAACCGTCCACTGCTTTACCCCTGCCCCAATATGACTGAGCAGACCAGTGGTTGCTGGACACTGGCTGAACTAATCAGATATGTCCTGATGGGGGCTAGAGGTGTGGAGGAAACCTGTGTTTTCTGTACCCACACCTATGAATCTGCCATGAATCCAAAGGGTGTCCAATGGGGGATGTCCCAAACAGACAGAAAACATCCTTCTTACTTTGGGTGGTGTTAACTAGGTTGGCATCGAGGGTGAGCTGGGCTGTAGCTGGTAGACTCCACATGGTCAAAAGTGAGGCTGGGAGGGGGAGAAATGAGGCAGTGATGGAGCGAGAGGTGTGTTGGGAGTGTCCAGTTATGATCTCCATACATATAGAGAGGTCTGGGGTCATGAATGTGACACTCCACCGCTAGTGGCTTGACTTCTACCCACTAGTTACTGGCCACATGACTTGCAACATGTTTTTATCCTCTCTGAGCCTCAGTTCCCACAAATGTAAAATGGGTATACTACCACCTGCATCTTGGGGTGCTGTGGAGGGAGAATAAATATTGGGGAGTTTTAACTGTTAGTCTCCTCTTTCCACACATAGCAAAACAGATGCTTCAAGAAGTGAGGTCATTTTGCAAGATAGTATTGTAAGTGGTAGAAACCACATGAACTTGGCCTGTCTGCCCTAAAGCCCATGCTCTCAACACCACATCATTCCTCTTGTCAGCCCCAAGATGGGCGTAGAACCAACCCTTGATTCGTGGGAGTTTCTTCCATTACCTCTGATGGGAGAGCTTAACCCTTGGTACTTCCTTAGACTGGGCTCAGGCAGAGGTTTCCCTTACACGGGGAAGGAGAGGCACGGGACAGCAGGAGTTTGCAGTTTTCCATCTGGCCATTTTGCATGCAGGTATGGAGGCTCAGAGAGACTGGGAGCTGCCAGGTTCATGGACGGCTGACCCGGACATCCCCCTCACACTTCCCATCATTCAGTTAACAGAGGCTGCCAGCCACGCCCCTCAAGAAAGACTCCAATTTGGCCCAAGCACCATCCCTCCCCTGCTCAGGCAGGACAGGCACCCTTGGGATATTTGGGAGCAAACATGGTCTCTGATGGTTACAGGCTCTATTGTCATGGGCAAGGGTTTTTTCCTTGGTGAGCCTCAGTTTCTTCAACTGCAAAGAGGGAAGAATAAGCTTAGCTCATCTGGTTGCTGTGTGGTCTGATGAGACAGCAGAGGAGACAGGCTTTAAACAGTTCAGAACAAGTGTTCAGTCACCACCGCCACCATTGTGGTCAGTGCCTGTATCTCTGTCTCTCCTGCTATTAGAGGTCAGCCCAATGGGCTCAGAGCCTGGTTTGCACCCCGGTTTTGCCATTTATTTGGGCAAGTGATGCCCTCTTTCTGAGTCTCAACTTACCCCTTTGTACAAGTAGGTGTTAACAGTTCCTGCCTCCTCTGACAGTCATAAGAATAAATGAAGTGAGCTGAAGCACTGATGGAAGGCCTCATTACATCTATCCCACAGAGGAAAATTCCCTCTACACTGTCTTCCCCAACCCTTTCCTTCCTGCTTCTTCCCCAGAGGGTCCTGCCTTCACTGCAAACCTTGCAGAGAAACCCAAAGACACAGCTGGTAACAGCCCCCGAGGAGGACTGGGGAGCCCCTGCAGCCTGCCAGAGTCGGCCAGGCTCAGCCCAGAGGAAGATGGGCCTCGGCTCAGGGCCGCACGGCCAGGTTGAGGCCTTCCTCTGCACCCTACACATTGCAAAATCATTTCCATCCCTCCGAGATACTTAGCAAAATATTCTGGTCTCTTTTTTTTTGTTTTTTGGCCTTAGATGCCCTTTAAGCATAAAATTCACATCCATCCTGTCCTGCTATGGGACCTGGCCATTTAGGGCTGGCACAGCCTCCCCTCCGTGCATCCCACTCCTGTCTGACTGTCTCTCGGCTACGTTCCGGCTCTTCCCCATCTCTCTGACTTCCCTGTCCAACCATGGGGATCCCCGAATCTCTGCATGTCGTACTGTTTCTTGCAGTCTCTTTGTACTCTGTCTTCCTTTTTCCTATTCATTTCTCCCACGTTCCCCTCAGCTGAACTTTTTACTATGATACATTCTTATTCTCTCTCCCTCCTTTTCTCTCTCTCTCGCCTCTCCCTCTCTCCTCTCTCCCTATCTCTCTCTCTCTCCATCTCTGTCTCTATATCTTGGTCTCTGGCCTCTGTCTCTAGGTACCTTTGTCAAGATTTCTTTAAAAAAATTAAGATTGGGGCCTCCCTGGCGGCGCAGGCGGTTGAGCACCGCACTGTGAAGCTGTCCGCAGCCTCTGCAGTGCGGGCTCGATCCTGGCCAGCGAGAATCCCACATGGCGCAGCAGACCTCTCCTGCCTCGCCCGCTGCTCCCCTCAGCAGTATATTTCGTCAATCTGCCTGTTCTGTTCCCCGCTCTGTCTCTGGTGAATCCTCTCACCCTCCCGCACATCTGGCCTGTACCCTGGTTCTTGTATAAATAAATAAATCTTTTTAAAAAATTAAAAAATAAAGTTCTATTTATTTAACACTGCTTTGCAATCTAGACAAATTTCAGGGGTACAGCTTCACCTCACCTACCACCAAAGTTTTATTTCCTTCCCACTACCAGGATAACACCATCTACCTCTACCCTTTCCTTCCACCCCTCTTCTCCTGCCAGTTTCTTCTGTATTTGTCTTTATTTAGATGTCTCCCTCTGTCTCTATTTCTTTCTGTGTCTGTTTCTCTTTCAAGCATATGTACACACACCTGAGGGGAGCCCAACACTCACCTGAGAACAGGATTCCTGCCCAGAGATGGCCCTGTAGGTCAGTGGGCCCCATGGGTCCAGGCATCTGACTTCTGTGTGCCAAGCCCACTATTCTCCTGGCTGCCCCACTCAGACACAATCCTCCAGCTCCTCCGTGTCCCCTCTGTCCTGCTGCAAACTCACAGGTGCCTGGAGACAGCGGCTCAGAAGGGGTGGTGGCAGGGGCGGAACTCTGACCCGCCTATGCACTCCACCCAGGACTCATTTCCTTCTCCACCCAGCACAGACACAGCTCCTGGGACCCCGGGCTTCTCAGACGTGGGAAAGGAGAGAGAAAACCCTGCTCTTTGGCTCTTGGGGTCCCTTGAGAGTCGTGCTCCTCTCCCCTTCCTCATATCCCATATGAGAGTGGCCAAGAAGAGGCAGAGCTGGGGAGGAAGAACTAAAGAATGTTAAGAGTTCAAGAGCAGAAACTGAGCCGATGAGGGTTAGCAACAGTGATGACAATAAAAACAGTAAGTTGGCGCCTGGTGTTGACGGCTTGTTAATATAACCAGGTCCAGTGCCAAGGTCACTGAGAGCAGCCTGAAAACATGAAATGGGTAGAAATGACATTTGTGAGATTGATTCCTGGTCATAAACAAAGGGCAGGAAGCACAGAGTGAGCTGAACTGGAAGAACCCCAGCGGGTGCCTGGCCCAGTTGGTGGGAGCAGGGAGGGCTGCCTGGAGGAGGGGACATCTGAGCTGCGACCAGGAGAAAAGAGTTAAAGGTGTAATATATGAGAGTTGCTTTCTTTCTTTCTCTTTTTTATAATTCCCTATGGGCAAGACAAACTTTTGGTTTTTGGGAGCAAAAAGATCTAATATAATTGATCATGTCATGGAGCTACCATTCATCCATTTACTCATTCCTTCACTCATGTGTTTAACAAATATCCCCGGAACCTCCTCTGTGCTGATCCCTGTACTTAGTACTGTTGGGGACATGGCAGTGATCAAGACATCTGCAGGCCTAGCTCATGAACTCAGTCCAGTGGGGAAGACAGACCTGTCCCTAGTCACTGACGATCCAAAGTAGACAAGGCTGGAGTGGGGAGGCCAAGGAGGATGTTTGATCCAGTGTGGAGATTAACCGAGGGTGAACAGAGCCTGCTGAGGCCTCGAGGATGCAGAGGTGTGTCAGGAAGTGTCTGCAAGCAGAGGAAGTGCCTGAGTGTAAGGCACAGAAAGAGGCTCAGGTGGCTCCAGAATGAGAAAGTGAGAGGGTGTGGTTGGTTCAGGATAAGGCTGAGGACACCCAAGGGGCCCTGCGCTTTGTGGAAAGAGATCTCAGCTCACCCAACTGACTCGTCTTGACACCCATTTGTGACTTAGTCATGTCACAGCGTCTGCAAGCATCTGCTGGAACGAAGCATAAAGGCTGAGCAAGCTGGCGCTGGAGTCAAAGGGCAGGGATTCAAAATCCTTGCTCTTTTTTTTTTTATAAAGATTTATTTATTTATACAAGCACTGGGTACAGTCAGAAGTGCGGGAGGGTGAGAGAATTCACCAGAGCCAGAGCAGGGAGCAGAACAGGCAGAAGGACCGAAGTACACTGCTGAGGGGAGCAGCAGGTGGCAGGAGAGGTCTGCGCGCCATGTGAGACCCTCGCCCAGCGGTCAGGGATCAAACCGGCGCTGCCAGAGGCTGTGGGCAGCTTTGCAATCCAGCGCTCAACTGCTGCGCCACCGGGGAGGCCCAAAATCCTTGCTCTTCTACCTGCTAACTGGCTGGCTTTGTCCTCTGAGAGGATAGTGGTGCATCTTCAGGGGCTCTGGAGTCACAAGAGGGAGGCTGGTGTCCTAGTTCTCCAAGCCCTCGCTGTGGCTGGTTGGTAAGCTTACATTCCATTGGCAGAGTGGGATAAAGTAACAGTCTCCCTCACAAAATGTGAGGCTTAAATGAGTTGATGCTGGGGAAGTGTGTGAAACAGTGTGTGGCCCAGAGTAAGTGCCCAATGAGTGTGAATCACCACATGACAGGCTCTGTGAGGAAGGCATGCAGGTGCTCACTCAAGCTCCATAGGTGCTGGCTCCCCGCTGAGCTCTACAGACACCAGCTCCCTGCCGAGCTCTATAGGCGCCGGCTCCCTGATGGGTTTTATATACCATTTTACATACATTTCCTAAGCACTGTTGTAGGTGCTGGGAACACAGCAGTGGACACAGCAGACAGCCCTTTCTGATGGGGAAAGAGACATCAACAATAAACATAAAGAGGGCCTCCCTTGGTGGCGCAGCCCTTGAGTGCTGGGCTGCAAAGCTGCCCACGGCCTCTACAGAGCCAGTTCGATCCCCGGCTGCTGGGCGAGGGTCCCACATGGCGTGCAGACCTCTCCTGCCATGCCTGCTGCTCCCCTCAGCAGTGTATTTCGTCAGTCTGCCTGTTCTGCTCTCCACTCTGGCTCTGGTGAATTCTCTCACCCTCCCGCGCTTCTGACTGTACCCAGTGCTTGTATAAATAAATAAATAAATCTTAAAAAAAAAAAAAAAACAATAAACATAAAGAGGTGAATTGCAGGGAGAGGTTAGAAGGTGATGTACACTAGGGAGAAGTGCCCAGCAGAAGGTAAGGGGTGCCACGCTTTCATCTCATAACTAAGAATGTCAAATCTCACAGAGGTGGCTGGCTTCCCTCAAGTCAGGGGCATCTTGGGCCAGGGATTCTGGTCTCTTAACCTTCATGGGTACCACCTTTCCAAGATCCTCATGTGGCTTTTGGCTACCCACAGCCCCATCTCCTCTGTACTCCAGATCAATCAGTGCCTGTGGCCGTATCATCCCACCACATCCCCAAGCTCTGTGGCTACCTGGGCTGCGGGCACCTGGTACAGACCCTCGAATTGTCATTCATTCACACTTTTCGAAATTTGAGTCTTCTGACTATTCATCCACTCCCTCTCCTCACCCTGGTTTCCCTTCTGACTGCCTCTGCTCTGGCTCAGCCTCACCCAGAGGCCCCCACTTCCTGCCCTCTGCCCCACCCAAGAGCTGCCACCAGAGTGGACTTCCCAAATCTGCCCCTTCTTGCAGAAGTTGCTTCTCTCCCTAAATCCCCACCCTGTGGCATGTTCCATCCTTGCCTGCCCCACGAGAAAGGGACTTTCTGGGCCCTTTTCCAATAATCATGACTTCCACGTTCTTTCCAACAGGTGAAAATAGACCCAGGTCCTTCCTGGCTCCCCACCCCCACTTACTACTGTCTCGCCATGCAGCCTGGCTCAAAGCTGTGTCTTTCCAGGCAGCCTGAACTGACCTCCCACCTGGTTCTGAACTTAGCATTAGCTGCCCTCTCTCTACCTTCAATTCCTTTTTTCTTTTTGAAAATGGAAGCACTGGGTATCCTCCTGGACCCTCTTCCCCCAACTCACCTCCATTACTCAGTCACCAAACCCTGTGGGTTCTATCTGTTAAAGAGCTTTGTTATCTGCACACCCTCTCTCCACCCCACTACCCCGTCCACTACCCGTGAGAACAGCCTTCCAAGTGGAAGGGTGTGAGGAGAGCAGAGTGTCTTCTGGCCAGAAACCGCCATGCAATGGGGCAAGAGTCAGTCATTTGTGACAGAAACATGAGAAAAGGATGCTCTCTTGCTGGTAAGAATGCAACATGGTACACTTGTTATGTAAGGTAATTTGACAATATCTGACCATCTGTGAGTGCATTTACTTTTCAAGCTAGCAATCCCACTTTTAGAAAGTGAGTTTGAAGAAATACCTAGCACACACATGCATAAGGTTATTTGTTACAGCGTTGTCATTGGAAAACACTGGAAACTACCTAAATGTTCAAGCCTAGGAGAATGGTTGAATAAATTACGGGACCTTTACACAAGGGACTATTATACAACTGTGAAAAAAGAGGAAACTCATTATGAACAGACATGAGGTGATTTCCCAGACATTCTGAAAAGTGGGGGAAAACAAAAACAGAAGAGTATTTACAGTCTACTAACTGTTGTAAAAGAAAAAAAAGGACAATAACAAAACATGCACATATCTGTTTATCTTCACCAACTCCCCACCCGCCCACACACAGGCAGGATAAGCCAGAAAATAACAAAGTTGATTGCCCACAAGGGGTTGGAGGAGGTCGGGTAGAAGGGATATGGGAAGGGGAGAAACTTCCCTGAATATATCCTTCTGTGTAGTTTTCAATTCTGAAAACATGTTACTATTCTACATATTAAGCTGATTAAGTCAAGTCACTAGGAACTGGATAAGAGGGAAAGAAAACCAAAAAGGAAACTAAAGCAATGAGCCTAAGTGTATTTCAGGTGACACACATAATCCCTGAAGAAAAACAGGAGGTGGGGAAAGAGGGAGGGAGAGAGAAAAGAGGGAAGGAAGAACCCAAGTAATTTATGATTCAACTAAATACACTCACTTTTTGGCAGAGTAGGGGAAGGGCACAGCAAATAAATTCTAAACTCTTCTTAGGAATTTGTGTGTGCATAGCGGCATAGCTAAAGCAATTCTAAAACAATTTTAGGGCTTTCCCTGGTGGCATAGGTGGTTAAGCGCAGAGCTCTGGGGCTGTCCGCAGCCTCTGCAGTGGTGGTTTGATCCTGGCAGGCAGGCGAGGGTCCCACGTGGCGCAGCAGATCTCTCCTGTCTTGCCCGCTGCTCCCCCCAGGAGTGTGTTTCGTCAGTCTGCCTGTTCTGTTCCCCACTCTGTCTCTGGTGAATCCTCTCACCCTCCCGTGAATCTGGCCTGTACCCCGGTTCTTTTTTTTTTTTTTTAAAGATTATTTATTTATTTATACAAGCACTGGGTACAGTCAGAAGCGCGGGAGGGTGAGAGAATTCACCAGAGCCAGAGGGGAGAGCAGAGCAGGCAGAAGGACCAAAGCACACTGCTGAGGGGAGCAGCGGGTGGCAGGAGAGGTCTGCGCGCCATGTGGGACCCTCCTTCGGTGGCCGGGGAGCGGCCGGGGATCGAACCGGCGCCACAGAGGCTGCGGGCAGCTTCGCAATCCAGCGCTCAACCGCTGCGCCACCGGGGAGGCCCTACCCCGGTTCTTATATAAATAA